GATGGCCTTTTCTCAGACTCTGAATCTGATGTATACAAATAAACTCAGGAGCCTGCGAGAGTTGCCAGGGAACTTGAGCTTGAAGTTACGCAAAGAAAATCAGTCACAGCAAGCCACCACCAGTGATTACCACATGTATGATTGCATTCACCAGTCCTGATGAATGAGGAATGAACATGGCCTTCTTGTGCCCAAACAGAAAGACAGAGAGCTGAAAAGTTGCACATTTCCACTGGTATGTCTATATTCAAGCAATGCAGTAATGTGTGGTACAGCATTGATGTTGATCTCTCAAAAGACCAGTTATAGTTACTTCAAGTCAGCAGTTATCATTTTTCACATATACATCTGTTTATAGCTCCTAGTATGAACAAATCAGCTGTGCCATCATCTTTGAAATTTGGACAGGAAATGACTGAATAGGGTGAGTGAATACACCTGCACCTGTATTCACCAACACCATTTCTCTAGAGTTAATGTTGACTTATCGTTTTGTCTGTTTGTTTGAAGGAAGATGAAGCCAGTTGATTAAGATATCAATTCAATGGCCACCAAGGGCTGCACTGCTGCCTGAACCCATCAGGTATCTGCTGTGAAGACTGCATTCGCAAACAGCTCTGCTGTGACAGCTCAGATGTTATAGCCCATAAAAGTAAACTTCACAACTGAACAACTGCAAGATAGTTGTGGAGGGATTCTTTTGGCCCATACCTCCAACAACCTCCCAAGAATGGTAAATCTAGTGCAACAATTATAAATAAAAATACTATATATTGTTTATTAATTTGCCACACCCTAAATACATGTTTTGTCCCTCCAGGACATCTACACCAGGTGATGTGTGAGGAAAGCACGGAGGACCGTCAGAGACTCCAGCCACCCGAGCCTTGGATTGCACTCACCGTTACCATCAGGCAGATGTTATCGCAGAACCTTCACCAGCAGACTGCGAGACAAGTTCTTTCCACAGGCAATCAGACTGAACTGAACTCGTACCAGTAACAGCCCACCAGCCTCATATGCCCTGCACTCTATCACTTACACTGACTTGATTCTAACTCACTGTTATTCTGCACCCTGACATTCTGTTTGCACTAATTCATACCGTACTACATTGCAAATGTAAAGGTGTACTATGATTAATGTGTTTATTATTGTTTTCATTTCACGCTCTCTGTATAGTATAATATTTACCATATATTGTTCTCTATCTGTATTGAGTTCTTTATATATGTGTGTTGCATATATATTCATAACTTTCATCCATAATGTCATGCTGCAGTTTGCACAAAAGACTTTCACCACCTGTACATTTGCATTCATGGTATTGTAACAATAAAGTGATTTGATTTGAATTGGTCACATGTCTTTTGTTCGTCAGTTGTACTGTAGGGTGCTGGATAACAACTGCAAATTGTTGGAAGAAGAAGAAGGCCATGATAAGGACATGGATAAGCAAGCAAGAGGAAGAAAACCAGGAGAGCTCTGATGATGAGAAGGAAACTGGACGTGATTCTTTGGTGCTCAAGATATTTCACCATACATGCATTTGGGTGGCTTCATCTGATTAAAATAACATGGTTTTAACATAACCCATTTTTCTTTTTCTTGAATATGATTTTTCTCTTTATGCTACTTTAGCTGTCTTTATGATGTATCCTCCAGTAACGTGTTGTACATGGTGTTGGAAAATAAAGTATGGTGAATATTAGGGATGCACCGATACCACTTTTTTCAGAACGAGTCCGATACCGATACTTTCATTTTTGGTGCTCG